TCGTAGCTCAAAAGTTTGTCTAGAAAAGTGCCTTTTGCGTACTAACAAAAAACTTTCTCGTAAAATTTTACTATAACTATGATCCTTTAAATCAAACATTAACCTACTGGTGGTACCCTAACCCTAAACTAATTGCGAACCAATTTTTTTAATAAGATCACATAATCGGCGAAATTTTTGGGGTGGTGATGCTAGACTTTTACTCAAAAAATGCCTGCGCATCTCTAGTAACGAGTAATACGAATAATTGCAGTGGTGTATAATACGTTAAATTAGTAAGCACGTGCGTTAATATGCAAATGCATATAAAGTTTATTTAAACGTAACGTAGGTTTGGGTTTACGTATAAAATTGGGTCAGCAGATCACCAATCGATGGCGCGGCCACATGATATACGACCTCCTGATTTTATTTTGACACGCATATGCAGTCGTATTTACAACGGACCTTTTAATAATAAACGCATTCTACAACAGAATAATGAACTTTTTTTAACAAATTTATTATAGGAACATAGTAAACTACTTTTATAAGGAACTCTTAAAAATTTTTACTATAAGAACTGTCAGTTCATTAACTGTATACATTCGTTTGTTATTCATATTCATATTTGACAAAAACAAAAAATAAAGGTGGCACATATGTAGAAATACGATAAGCATGTTATAGTGAAATTCTTTAATTCAAAATTCTTTATTATATCAAGAGTTCACTATAACAAGGGTGTAGTGTATTTGGGCAGACTGGTTCTTTCCATTATTTAATTCGTGCATATGTTGTAAGTGGATTTGAGGTTGATTATCATAAATACCTCGATAACTATATCAAGATCACGGGATATTTTTAATACACCCTACCCTAATTTAACTAGAAAATTCCAAATACGCTTAAATCCCATTCCACTTACGACATGTATATCTTTAGAACTCTACAATCTTTTGTAGCTTCATTTTAATTATTTATTTTTTCATAAATGCTGAAATGCAGGCAGATTCGTTTATACATCCAATTACAGCAAAATCATACTATAAGGAGCTTCTTTGGAACAATTAGCTGTAAAATTTTAAATTTATATTAATGAGTTTAGAATGTGTAGATTTTGCATATTCGATAATTTAATATCATTTATTTGCGCAATTTTAATTCATGTTACAGTTCATTTAAATCTGTTCGAGGTTATTATTTGATAATCAAGTTTCTCAATAGAATATGTTTAACTATTTATTCTGTAGTTTTGTCTCTTAGAAACACTTAAGAAAGCTTTTAAAAAAAATTTAAGGATTGCTAAAAGTACGAAAGAAAAAATTGGTTGAATTCAAAATTTTCCGGAAAATTGTGAGGTCGGAATATTATGAGACTTCACCCTCAATTGGTGATAACGCTATGCATAACGTAAGGTTTGTAAAAATCTTGATGTTTGTTAAAGCGATTTTGTAAGAATATTGATTATTATTAAAGCGATCTCGTAAAAATCTCGATTTTGAGAAAGCAGTGCATACAGTATAATCCTGTAAAAATCCTGATTTTAGTTCAAAACACTTTAATTTCGTTTGGGCACTATCTTATATTGATATATATTTATCACAACGATAAATAATTTTCTGTAGAACTTTCGTAAAGTCACTTAATAGTCAACTTCGTTACACTATACTGTTTTATATATAATTTATGTTATGAGTATATTATGCTGGGTTTTATATATAAATACGATTTTTGCAGTATAGTTCACTACTCTACTAATCCATACACCACAACTATTCGTAGTGCTGTTTTTGGGAAGTGATCTCAAAACGTAATAAAGTTTATTATGAAATAATGCCAAAATATTATTATAACAAAACAATCTAAACTCATCATTTTCGGAATAATTTTAATCAATGAAAAACGTTATCTTCATTAAGATAATTATCATTTATCGCAGGTGCGATACATCGCCATTCTATAATCAGATCAAAACAAACCAAAAGAAACAACCATCGAATTAGAGGTGAGGGTTGGGTAAGGCAATAGTTAGAAAGCTTAACCTAAAATTTCGCAAGAAATTTTTTTTTTTTTTTTTGCTAGAACAAAAAGAGAGGTTTCATAGAGTTAGAAGCGATTTCTAAAAAAAAAATCCTAATTGCATCGATTTTCACGTTACATCTGCTCTGCATCCTGATTTGTCAAATTGCTTAAGCTAAAACCTGGTGATGCATCGCACCGGAGATAAAAAGATAACTCTCATTTTGATTAAGATACACCTATTAAATTTTATAGCTATCTATTTATGCATATCCAATAACTAGTTTAGTCCACAAATATTAGAATCTAACTTAAAAATCACAGAAAATTGTATGGGATCTGAGATCTTTGCTATGAAAACCTTCGACATTTTCCAATTGGACAAACTTAGACTAACATATTGATTCTTACTTGCAGTAAATCGCCTTTTGCCCTTATTGACTTAATAGCTTATTCAATAAAATATTGAATCAATAAAGGCAAAAGACGATTTAAAATGTTGAATGATGATTTTCACAGCAAATATTCCACATGTTATATGTTAAATCGTTATCTGTGTTAGATTAAAAGAATTATAATGCACACTAATATCTACCTTTACTATAACATAGCAATAAGCTTGTTCATATACTTAATACTTTGTAACTATATCTATTACAGCACCCACTTTGTTATTTGATTTTATTTATATACTATTCACGAATTAAATTTGTAAGAATTCTTTATGTTTTTATTTATTTTGGATTGTATGGTTAGTGATCTAATTTCTTTCAGGATTCGGTCTTGTACTGCTCAAGAGAGCGATGTCTCTGTTAAGGAATTCTCACATACGTACTAGGACAAATGTCATAGACTATATTTATATGTATCCATATCATCATCTTCTATTCCGTGAAGCTTTCGTACTGCCTGCCGGCAGTTAATTGTGTTTAGAAGATATATGTCCCATTTCATGCACTTGTAAGCTGTCTCTCATATTCTTTTACTCTAATATAGGCTCTTATCGCAATCCTAATAAAACTCAGTATTTAAACTTGATCAGATACAACCTTAATTTGAAAACATATATATAGTAAAATCTGATAACGATATTAAAGAGTGAAATAGTGATGTTGCAAAAATTTGGTGGTCCCATGATTTTTATCCAACCCGATTGTAAGATCAGTGTGTAACATAAGGCAAAAAAAACAAAAATCATAAATTCGCGAGGGAAATTGGCCTTTTGTTATTAAATAAAAGATTTCTGCACAAAATTTAGTTATATTTCTATTTTGTAGACGAAATTTAGGATAAAGTATTATTATTGTTTAATTAGTCACAGGACCGCCAAATATTTGGTATACCGTAACGAATAATTTTACCCCGTGTCTCAATACCATATTTGTCTAGTTCATTACGTTGTAACATACCTTCCATAAATGTATTGCCATAGTCCTGCCTTTATATGTGAATTTCCCTTAATCGCGTATACGCGATATTTTAGCGTATACGCTCTTGCATAAACTTGATAAAGTGAGTTGCCTGTGGGAAAACATGTGTGAGTCAGAGTTAGTAGTGTAGATGTTATAGTCTTAGCGTAGACCTCATAAGAAATGAGAATGTATTTAAAGGGTTGCTATTGCCCTTCATTCATTATCGAACGATGCTCCCGAAAATGTCCTTAAATAAAGAATACATAAATAAACATTCTGTTGTATAAATAAATGCCTAATAACTATGAAGTACGAGTTCCTTTATTTCCATCCAGTTCCCGCATCTTTTCTTACGTCAACCATCAGAGGTAAACTCGGCATGATTGTTGGTATCTCTCCCATTCGACGGTGACAATACCAAGTATAAAATGGCAGAATTGGGATACAGTTTGTAGAGTCACAACGATCACGTGTCACCACGAATTCTTTTGTGCTACATTCGCGGTGAAGGTTCATTATTTTTTTTATGATTTATTGTTAGGGATGTTTAAACCAGTTCAATTTTATTATATAAGCTGAACTATTAGTTTAATATGTTTGATTTGTAATTAATTTCAAATCTGGTTAGACGGTTTAATATCCTATTCATTTTGTTACGTTTATTTTAAGTTCCTGCATATGCACATAGCATTATTATCGCACAATGCATTGAACCGATTTTGGGTCAAAATCCCGAATTTAATTATCACGCCGTGTTATGTCGGGGACCCAATATTTAACCGCCACTTATGGCTTAAGTGGGGGTTTGAATATTGGATCCTTGACATCACACGGCGCGATAATTAAGTTAGGGATTTTGACTTTTCCATAACCCATTAAACCACCCATATGAGTATTAGTCCAAACGAACCAGGCAAATAAAGACGTTCTTAGCACCTTTCCCAATAAACTCAATAGAGAAGTTATTGGTTAGTTTTATTATACAAGCCAATCAAGTTCTTTGGACTATCGAAGAAGTACTTGAAAATGTCCCAAGTGTCAAAGGATCAAGGAATCGATAGTTTTAAAAATGTATAAAAGGAAGTTGTAAAAAATCGTATAAAAAGTCTGTTATTCCTTGTCTTGAATGCTCATTTATTAATAAAAATTCTCTTTAAAAACCAAATCCTCAACATATCGCTTAATCGGCTATATTCGCTTAATAATAATTTATAATCATACCTAATTGGTAAATAAATTATCTGTTCTATAATTACGTACGTAACATATTCTGTGAAATTGAATATGTTATTAAAATGTTTTGTAATGTAATATTTCTATAATGAAATATATTTAATTAAAATAATAATGACTTTGTAAATTCTCTGTAATAGCAACTCTTTCAGCTGTTCATTGACTACTTTACCATCTGTAACTTTTTTTTCAGGTAAATACATAATTAAAATGATATGTGCTTATTTATTTTGACTTTTTCAGAAGTCATTTATATGAATACATTTTCTCTTAATACAGTCGTCCTTTAATCGTACATTATTATTGAATAATTGATTTCTAGTAATAACGAATCAAGAGTTGGAAATATTCAATATGGCATTGCAAGTTGACTTGGTTCTTAAAAGCCAATATATTATTACCATTCCCCTTGCTGGAGTATGTATAACCATGTTTCTTTCTTTGAATGTAAGTTTTCTGAATATTTTTTTACATTAATTTTTTATGCTTGCGATTTCAGATTGGTTGGATTGTTCTACTTGGTGGTGTTGGTGCTATCACATCCTTTTATAACGACACGCTGAATGCTCATAAATTCTTTAATTATGGCTTATCCTCTTCGAGTTCACGAATGAGTGGTGCTTTTGCTGCCCTTTGGTTATATGTGATATATCAAATTATCGTCATAATTAGTCTTTTTATGATTGTTGCAAAAAATGCTATGAAACACTATCGCTATGCTGTATCCTTTAATATATGCTTGTAAACGAGTTGTTAAAATTATTAAGGCTTTTATCACCTTTTAACAAAGTATATTCCTTAACCATCAAATTTTATTTATTAATATAGGTTCTGTCGTCTATAATCATCAGTTTTATTTCTAATTGCAATTTCGCTTTTCTTGCTACTACTGCTAGTGGCATTTTTAACCTTTCTCTTGTTCCTGAAATGAATTCTAGAATTAATGCTTTTATAGCTGGGCTTAGTATTCTTGCTATTGCCAATGTAATTTTTCTAATTTTATTTTATTTTTATATGTTAATTTATTCTCAAAATATTCTAATAAATTTCATCAAAAATTTTCTTTTCTAGTTTATTTGGATAATTATTATTGGATCAGAAGATGATTCTACTTTGATAAAAGCCATTGATGCATATTACGGAAATACAAGAAATAACAAAAATGATTCTACTAGTACTAGGTTTGCCCCTCAACCAACACAAATACATACCTCTGATGTTAGAAATGTCTAGTGAGACAGTAATGTGAAATATCCAATATTATTTAGTTAGCTTAAAACTATTCAAGTGCAATTTATTGTACTAGCTAAATTATTGAAAAAAACAATAACAGTCATAAAACATGTTTTATTAGATGTTTCAAATAAGTTTTTGTCTTTCACATGTTCAAATAATAAAGATAGATATGTATAAAATGAAAAGGAAGTGTACTTGATCAGAAACTATTTCGCTTTTCAAATTACTGTGATTATCTAAATCAGCAAAATTCTTCAGAAAATCACTTACCACATAGGAATCTACAAATTCCAAATTCCGTATTAGACCTTTCTGTTGGTTGATTAAACAATTTAAAATTTGAGTTTTTTTAACTGTACTCTCATAAATTTTGAAAGGAAGAACTTACTAATACCCTGCTTATTTTTAATGTTCAAGACTATTTTCGAATTATATATATTAATACACTCAAAGTTCAAAATTTGATTACTAACTGACTAATATTATTTTTAGCCAATCATAAATTTGATTTTAAAAACTACAGGCTTTCATTCCGATTGACCAACTTTTGTAGATCATTCCGTGATTTTACAATATCTGATTGGCCAATAGAAAATAAGCCCAAAGAAAAAAAACTGTAAAAGAAAGATACATTAAAATTAAGATTCTATAATTTATATATGCACGCATGTAATTTAAGATCATGTGGCCAATATATGTATTATACTAATACGAATAACAAATCCCAAATCAAATACAGAAACATAATGCTTTCGAAGCATCTTTGTTGGCAAATAATTGACAAAAAAAAAGTTAGAAAGCTTATCATTTTGAAAATTGAAAATACTTAGATGTTAGCATGTTTTTATAAATCAAGTTCTTAAGCACCTTCAAAGATATGAATATTGTGAGGCCCAATAACGTGACGTAAATACTCTGCCTGGACCTCACGTGAGAACGGGTGCGACGATCAATTCCTCAATATAGATATCCCGGCAATTAATCGCATTAATGCAATTAATCGCATTAATGCAATTAATTAAATAAATCAAGGAAGTGAGATTAATTAGATAAAGGGGATTAATTAGAGAAGGGGGATTTATTAAGTAAATGGGTTTAAGTAAATAAATTAGAGAAATCAAATTAAAGGGTTTAATGAGATTAATGTAATTAATGAAGTTATAATTAAAAAGATATTATAAATAAAGGTTAAAATGACCCTTTGGAGCAGTATGCTTCATTTGCTTTATTAAATAATAAATTCTAATACATTACATTGTACATAATAAACACTAAAAATTTTACTGTTACAAACCCTGTGAACCTCTATAACATCATTGTTCAAGCCCTTGACCACGTAACTTATCCTACTTGTATTCATTAACCCAAAGTAACTGAAAGCCTTAATCACCCACTAGTCAAATCTAACACCTTTTTTTGAAAAGGTTACTTATCATATATTATGCGAGATATTGAATTATGGAGTGACAGAGTCACAATCTTCCAAACCCAACAATATATATATTAAAAACTTTTGTAGCAAATTTAGAACAGAATCTTGAATCATGTTTTTAAACTAATCAACAAAATCTTGTCTAATTTTTTTAATATTGATACTTACTTGCATAATATGTTTATTATAAATATTTATTTTTTATTCAGAGTTTTTTTGTGTATATATGTTTCTTGTTAATATTTAACCATTTTTATAAGTTTTTTATAAATTTTAAATAAACTAAATACATTAAACATTTAACCAAAAATTTAATAAAATTGAGCATATTAATATCATATAACATATTGGACATTTATTTTGTATAATATTTAACAAGAATAGTTAATAATTGACACTTAAATTTTACAAATATATTAATATATATTCTGTATCAAATTATTTAAGCTAGAAATGTTGTTCTAATTATTTGTATACTGTTAGACTTGAATTTCTATGATTATGTTATTTTTATTATGTTGTTTAAATCTTACATTCTCAAATCGAGTTCAAAATTAGTTTGATAAGCAAAATGCTTGATTTAATTTTATCATTATTGATGAAATAGTTTTTTTTGATTGATTAATTATTATAGTATTACATTGATATAATGAATATTAATGCAATTTTTGAATATATACCAGATTAGTAGTGCTGCAAAAAATTTTTAAAACTTGTTTATATTAGGATTAGGGTCAGGGTCAGAAATCAGAAGGAATAGCATTATAGTTAAATTATATAACAAAACTTTTTATTAGAGCATCAAAGGTGATTTCTTATATTGATTTTTGAGAAATAAGCAATTTTTGACAAAATAAATGTTTGTTTTGATCATGTTATAATCTTAAAATCTGTTTTTAGTCCAGAAAGTCTGTGTCATAAACCTGGTATACATTCGAGAATTATAAATAGCAACTTTTTTAATTTCAATACTATATTGATTGAAAAAACTTATTTTTTTTTAATATAAATAAGTATTTTTTTATACATATTTTTATTTCTTAAGATAAATAAAGAAAGTGCTCTTAATCAATAATTAACTTATCTCTTCAAGCTCTCAAAATATACTTGAATCTGAAGATTTTTGAAAATAACAAACCATTCTTAAATTAAATAAAATTAATTCCTTTTTAAAAATAAATAATTATAATTGTATTTAAACTATTACAGTAGTAATTATAAATAATGCAACAAAAAAATTTTTAGTTCAATTATATTATCTTATGCAATTTCAGGTATATTTTTTTATATTTTTTTATATATACAAATATTATTTTTTTATTTTTAGAATTTCATAGACATTAATATTATTGAAATGAAAATAATTATATATGTATTATAAAATATGTGTTATATTATTTTATATTGTTTTTGATAAAGATTAAATAACATAATTTACATTATACAAATAAATATAAAAATATAAAAAAAAACTAAAAAAAAGAACTAAACAATTGTTTAATGAGTTCAAATATTGTTTTTGTTTTAGAAAAGATATTTTACAAGAGTTATAAATTAGATTTATAATATTAGCTATTCTATGATTTTACATATTATATAAAAGTAGTTAAACTATTCATTTAAAAATTTAGAAAGAGTTGATTATTTAATTTCATTAGATAAATTAACTTAGAGAAAAATAATGAATCTTATTAGCTTTTGTCATTATTTTATTATTATTGAAATGAGAATATATTTTAAAATAAATAAAAATATATAAATTTTAATAAAGAATATTTATCATATACATCATAGACATGATTTGATGCTAGAAAATAAGAAAAAAAATCCTATCTGAATAATAGTTATCAAAAACAATGTCTTGAATTTGCAAAAAAATATTAAAATTAAATTATCAAAGACTGGTCTAAGACAATTTGGTCTAATAAATTATAATTTTAAATTTTTGAAATAATATGATTAAAAATATTATAGAAAATCATTAAATTACTTTTATATTAAACCTATAGTAAAATTTGAAAATAGATTAATTATTATTTAAAGTTGCCTTTTCTCTTATGGTATTGATAGTTATTGCAAAATCAACAACTTAATAAATGATAAATTATACTAGAAAATACTTAGTAAAGATTTGATATAAACTATTAAGAATCATGATTTTGATGCTAAGAATATCATATTTTAACAAAATGATGCATCTTATCATACAGCAATTCTGATGAAATATTGACTTAAAAGAAACAAAATTCAGTTCATTAATTAATTCTCTAATCCTTAATCTTAGTCCTATTGAATACCTGTGATGTAAAATTAATTGTCATCTCAGAAACCTTTCTGATTAAATTTCATGTAAGAAAAACCTTTAGAAAAAATTCCAGGTCATCTGGCAGGTGATTAATGTTGAAACCTGTACAAGATTGATTTGCTTAATACCAGAACGAATTTGTGAACCCGAGGCACTACACAAGATGCTGAAGACCAAAAATTATTAGATATCAAAAAAATTTTTTTTGATGTAAACCAAGTTTTTTTTGTTTTATGATCGTGTTGCTGTAAAAATGAGCAAAAGTAATGCAATAAAGCTCGTGGCTGTGAAAAATTTTGTTCATTATTTTTTTTAAAATTTTTTATTGATCAAAATATTACTATTTATTAATAAAATAAATAAAAAAATAAATGAATATGCCCAGAATTGTGAAAGACAATATGATCTAACTAAAAAATTTTTTTTGTTACATTATTTATGATTGCCACTGTATATAGTACTTATTTACTATATAAAGAATTTGTATGTCCATTGCCAAAGACGATAATGATTCCTCAAGAAATTACCAGTGCTTGATTATTTGATTGTACAAGCCACTGATGTACTTAGTGAAGAAATCTTTTCTAAAGCCAAAAATACAATCAATCAAATCCATAACCAAATAACTGAAGAAAATGCTTCTTCAAGTTTCTGCTTAAAGTGTAGTATGAATCAGTTGTCATTGATTTTACAGAAGATTAATAAATTGGGTATTATTATATCAATAAATAAGTAATAATGATAGATATATAAATGCATAATATATATAAGTGCTGTTAAGAGAAAACCTACTTATTAAATATTTACTTTTGATAAAAATATATTAAAATCAGACAATTTAGTACCTACTGTTCTTATTATTATTTGAATTATCTCATTAAGATAGTTAAAATTAGTAGGTATTAAATTGCTGATTTTAAGATGTTTTTATTAAAAGTCAATATTTAAAAAGTACAACATGTAGGTTTCTCTTGGCGTTACTTATATGTATAATTTTACAAATACAAAATTTATGTATTTTTTGCTCTAATAAATAACAATAACTGATTTATTAATCTGTTCGAGCAAGCATAATTATTAGTATAGTTTCAATTAATTTTGATTATTTTAATTGATTTTAATTGCACGACATATGTCAAAAATCTAACTGTGCTTAATTTTTTAGTAGGCTTGGGATAAAATATTATGCATTTTTCAGAAGGACAACCTTACACAATATAGAAGGTAAAATGACAGACTCTAACCAAAATGTGATGATAA